CTTGATAAACTAGATAGAAATGAAGGGCTCATTCACATGTTACCTTTCCTGTGCATTGCAACATGTATTGTGTTAATGGACTTTGTGTTTATGCTGTCTGATAATTTTGAATGGTCTGCCAACGCACAACAAGTCTAAAAAAATAAATTAGAACCAAAAGTGACAGTCTGCGCAGATCTAAGTGCGGAATGATGATAGAATCCAGTATTGGTGCTCCAAGTAGTGTGGTAAAATTACGCACTCACCAGATGCGTAAGGTATATACGCATTAAATGAATCATTCGAGATCCCCTTTAGGAATTGGATATGATCCTGGACAAGGATAATCCTCACTCTAGGTAATGTGGTGTTGTCAGGAGCTCACAGGAAGTAAAGGATCCAGATGGCCAGAGGTCCTTTTAAGGGATGGATGGGTGTGGATGCCTCCTTTCAGGTACTCCCTTCTCTGGATACTGCAGATGGCTGGATCAGCTGGGCTCTACAAATGAATAGCTCCGCACAGGAGACCATAAGGAATGCCCATAGTGTAGTAGGTAATTCAAATATTTATTAATAAAATGAGTTTGCAAACTCCATTAGATTCTAAAAGCAATTAACATCAAGTAGTGTAACATGGACTAACTATCCAGAAGGGAAAATGGCCCTGGGCCTGCATGTGGCTCCGGCGGCGTGACGTCAGTGTCTTGGCTCCTTCAAACGTGTTTCGTGCGCACGCACTTCTTCATCCGCCTTTTCTGTTAAAAAAAAGTTTGCAAGTAAATGTTCTTCATAAATTTAGGCTAAGATGTATTCTGCTACTTTTCTTTGGTGTAAATATCCCAAATCAGTATTTGAGTCTGTAGGAAAGTTCATAAACTATGGGATATATCTGAAAATTGATCAATCCTGAAGTACTGACCGCCAATCTACAGTAGTTTCTTGAGGCCTAAAAATGTCAGAACAATACAGCTATCCCCCAAATGACCCCTTTTTGCAAAGTAGACAGTCCGACGTATTTCATAAGAGGTATGGCGAGCTTTTTGAAGTTGTCATTTTTTTGTCATTTTTCGTAAAAAAAAAAAGAAATTACCTTTTTTTTTTTTTTTTTTTTTTTTACATACTGTCACCAGTGCAGTACAGCGTCGTCATGTAACTGGTGTGGCAGTGATCAGGGACACTGTGACAGTATGAAAAAAAGTTGATAATTTTGAATTTTTTTTTTTTCTTCATATTACACTATGACCGAAGTATTTAATGTTACCATAGTAACATTGTACTACTTTGGGAACCGATCAGTATTTTTTTTTTTTTTATTATTATTGCTTATAGCAAAGAATTCCTTTGTTATAACCAAGCATTTAACTGAATGAAATCGATTTATTCAGGTTTTTTTGTTGTGGTTAGCTGTGATTGGCCATGACTAATCACATGACACAGATGGGCTGTGACTGGCCTAACCTGTGCATGTGATCACTGTGGCCAATCACAGCTAGATACACTTGTATACAATGGATGGCATAAAAGGAAGACATCCATTGTATACAACTGTCATGTGATTGGTCACATGATACTGGCAACGGGGCTGGTACACACAGATCTGTCATCAGCAGTGTCCGAGGTACACGGCCGGTGACAGATCTCGCCACAGTGTGGCCCTGCGGGCAAACGCAATGAACGATCCAGGAAGGACATATGACACCCTCCCGGAGGGACGAGAGGTTCGCCCGGCCGTCATTTGACTATAGGCTGGGCGGGCAGTAGTTAAAGACTGAATCCAATGCACTTACACAATGAAGAGGTATATAAGGCACATCAGTCAATAGTCCTCAGCTTCTCCCTGGTTGCTGCTGTGATGTATAATGGAGACTAGTGCAGCGACGGCTTGTCTGTCAATTTTGGCTATGTTTTGAGGGAATGTGTATATTTTGGACTTTGATGGAATTTAAAGCTGTAGTAAGCTTTACTAAAACCGAAAATAAAAATCATCTTCCTGCCGGGCAGTATTACAATGTGCTAGTATGCATTGTATACTAGCACATTATGAAAGACTTTCCTTAAAACAAAGCTCTCCAGCAGTGTGCTGTCACCACTGACTGACAGGGATTCCATCTACACCCGGTCTTCTGGGTTTGTGGGCTCTGGCCGCTTGAATGACCAAGTCATGATGACATGACGCACGTGTGCGGGAGTCACGGCCGCAGCACAGAGCTTTAGGAACAGAATGTGTATGCCATTCTTTTAGTGCGAATGCACTGGTGACATCAGCTGCAGAAACACTGAATATTTCCCAAACTGCACGTTTTTGGATATTTTTTTTTGTACCTATAGGTAAGCTTTATTATAGGCTTTCCAGTAGGTACAAGTGTCCAAGCTGAGTTTACTACTGCTTTAAAGAAACCGCACAACACAATTGTGTACATATCTGTTTAAATACTGTCACTGGTTTTCATTTTAAAACCAGTAGGGTCAATATATAACCCTTTACATGGTCTTTACTCCTGATACCTGCTGTCTTTAGGAGTTAACCGCTAGCTGAAGCCTCTTCAGGTGTGTCACCCACTATTGATTTCTTTCTCTGGCCCCCTATGACATACTGTGTCCATTAGTTATATGGAGGCTTGAGTAACCACAACTTTGGTTTCTGATTTTAAACAATGGTCCCAGGGTCTCTTAAAGCTAATTTTAAATGGTAGCAAAAGCTTTGCTACCAAAAGCTAGAGTTTAGATAACACTTTACTTAAAGAATTTACTAGGTTGCAGCATATCAGACACCAGCTTTGTTGTATTACTTGCTCAAATTGCATGCGTTCATCCTGTGCTGTATAAATAGGCAAATGCTGTCTTGTATTTACACATCAAACAAAACCTTTATTTACTTCATGGTAATGATCAGGAGTAGATATTGTATGTGTTACTGATATTTTACAAACCATCTCCTTTCCAACTTTTTGATCTGCATTTGAAACCTAAATTGATCAGCTATAATAGGACCACCAATCTAATTTGTAGACCCCCCCCCCCCCCCCCCCCCCCCCCCCCCCCCCCCCCTTTTGCCACCAAAACAGCCCTGAACTGTTGAGACATGGACTCCAAAATAATATCACAAGTGGCAGGACCCAAGGTTTCCCAGCAGAACACTGCCCTTAAAGGATAAGTTCATCCTTTTTACAAAAAATAATAAATGCACATTTTTTTTTTAATTTGGTTTTTGGAGCCTGTAAAGCATTACACCAGTAATCAACAGATTGCTGGTGCCATACAGGTCTCCTGCAGACTTGTCAGTATATCTGCGTTCCTGTACGAGCAAGCAGATATACTGACAGGAAGAATCGTACTACCATGGCGTGGTAGTTCATTGAGATATACACGCCTACAGCCGCAAAGGCTGTCGGGACTTGTAGTTCATTCATTCACCGAACACCGTGAATGATGTGGCCCCGTGGGCGGAGTCCTGCTTGGCTGCGGGCGTTTTTTGTTTTTTTTTTTTTTTTTTTTTTTTTTTGTTAAATTGTGACAGGTAGTGGGCAGAATATCCCATGCTAGGTGTCACAACTGGGAGCACTGTGGTGCAGGGGCCAGTACATTTGTAACATGTTACATGTCACATCCTGAATATGGTAGAACATGTTAAGAAATGTGAACTTATCCCTTAAAGCATCACATTGCCTCTGTCACATTGTATTCTTCCCATAGTGCATCCTGGTACCATCTCTTCCCCAGGTAAGCAGCACACACGCACCTGGCCATCCACATTATTTAAAAGAAAATGTGATTGTCAGACCAGGCTACCTTTTTCCATTTCCTTTATGGTCTAGTTCTGATGCTCACATGCACATTGTAGTTGCTTTTGTCTTTGAATACAGGTCGGTATGGGCACCCTGACCAGTCTGTCTACACAACCCCATGCAACAAACTGCAATGTGTGTTCTGACACCTTTCACAACCAGAAGTAACTTTTTCAGCAATTTGATCTACAGTAGCTTGTCTGCTGGCCGGACTACATGAGGCAACCTTCGCTCCCCCCACTGCATTAGTGAGCCTTGGCCGCACATGACCCTGTTACTAGTTTTCATTTCTTGGACCACTTTTGATAGGTCCTGACCACGCATGCAGACCAGGAACATCCCTTGAGAGCTGCAGTTTTGGAATTGCCCTGACCCGACCCAGTCATCTAGCCATTACAATTTGGCCCTTGTTCTTTTAACACATCAACTTCAGGGATGACATGTTCACTTGCTTCCTAATACATCCCACCCACTTTTAGATGCCATTGCAGCAAGGTAATCAGTGGTATTCACTTTAACTGTAAGTTGTCTTAAAGATGGCTGATCAGTGTATATTATTATGATTTAACCATGTATATTATTAAATATTTTTATAGCAAATACCCTGTTTTCTGCATGCAAATAACACCACTGGCCTATATCAGAGGAATGTATGTGTCTGTTTTCTAGAAATGATAGATCTGCTATTGTTGGCTTGTCTATAAAAGTGCAAGCTCAAAGGCTGTGCCACTTATCTTTTTTTTTTTTTTTTTGTCTCATTTACTTTATCATTTATGATGTAGCAATCGGTTGGTGGGTGCCTGTTGTCTTTTGCAACTGTATGAAGAAATCATGGCAGCTAGTATTACGCTGGCTGCCCTAGAATCAAGTCATGAATACTTCCCAACTGGTTTATAAATGAGCAACTAATAAAGCACTTTGCAGGTTGCACATTATTTAAAACTACATTTACACTCCAGTAGGGAAGCCCTCTGATGTTGGAACATCTTTCATTTCTGATCTAGAAGGCTTGGAACATAAAGTATGCCAACTCTGTCAAAGTAGTTGTCAGATGTCTTTCCAGATTTTAACACTTTCACCTGTTTGCCATACCTTGGAAGGTTAAACTGTTTCTTCCCCTCATGCTAAAGAGTGCAGTGAGGCATCAGATCTCCACGATGTTCGTTTAGGCAATTGCATAGATGGTGTACAGTGTCTGTCAGATGTTGAAATGTGACTTTTTCTCATCAGCCAAGTATGTTTTGGAAGTTCGACCTGCATTCTTCATCTCACATAGACACCCTCTTAGAGAGAGATGAAGTGACACTAAAGGAGTTGATGGATGAGGAAGATATATTGCAAGAATGCAAGGCGCAGAATCGTAAACTTGTGGAGTTTTTGTTAAAATCTGAGTGCTTGGAAGACTTGGTGACCTATATTACAGAGGAGCCTCCCCAAGACATGGATGAGAAAATTCGTTACAAGTAAGATATGCATTTGTTATGTTTGCTGTGTTTTAAAGGCGTATTCTGATACACATTGAGAGGAATTTCCCAAGATTGGAGCAGACAATCTGCAGTAGCTGTATGGCAACCAGTTAGCTTCCATTTTTAACTTTTAAAACTTAAGTGAGCAAGTTGAAGTTAGGCAGGCCATAGATTATGCAATATTTATTTATTTCCCTTTCCTTCAACATGGGGGAATCCTCCCTGCTGAGCTATTGTGTTCTTCTGGTGGGGAGCCGTCCCTGCTGGGAGAACACAATGATTGCTAGTGGCTATAGCCACTGGCAATAATTGCGTGTTAGAAGTCAAACATGTTGGTTGTACCCAAGTCGATCGATGGATCTACTTTTGGTATAGTTGACCTGCCCATACATGGATTGAATCTTTGTAAGTCCCTGCTAAACCGGCCAAGATTCAAACAATCTATGGCCAGCTTTAGAAGCCGATTGGTTACTATGCACAGCTGCTCCAGATTCTGCCTCCCTTAACCTGTTGTTTTCAGGCAAAATAAATGTTCCTGCTGTACCTTTCTGGTTAGGCCATAACCATTGCATGCCAAGGTTTCCAGACAGGTTTTGAAGCTCTGTAAGCATCCCTGTTTTATTCCTCTGGCTTATCTGGTTGACTTGTGACACGGCTACCCTATGCAACCAGCGCTGCTGTCAACAGGCAGTCAACGAAGAAAACTTTCATAGCATATTTTGAAGGGAAAGGTCTCGGTTAAAAAGACTTTATACAGCAATCTATTCTAAAGAAGAGAAGACAGTGCAACAAATTTCCTGAGCAAATACTTAGAAGCATGGGAACCTTCATCACATTACTTGCCTAGTCTACTGATACACACGGCTTGTGGGGGAGATTTGGTGCATGCAAGAGCAAAAGAAATTCAGCACCGCTCTACAATACCTGCACATTTCTCCATGTTTTAATCTTAAAATGCCGCAAGTACACAAGAGTACCTGTTTTGCCAGAAATCCAATGTGTTCCTAATTTTCAGTTCACAGCCTAAAGCAGAGCTGATGAGCTTTGTTCTACTTTCCCCAGACAGCACTGCACCTACACACTGAGTGTGTTTGTGGTTTTTTTTTTTTTTTGTTTTGTTCAGCACAGGGGACTGAATAAGAAAAAACTGAGGTCGCCATACTAACTAAGCAATGTTAGTGTGGCTGTCTCCCCCTGAACTATTGTGTTGTAACAGGGGGACTGCCCTCCTGCTAAAACACACTGATCAGCGCTCACAACCATTGGCTGCAAGCACTGAACAGATGCTGGTTTTCCAACATGCCTGTTCGATTAAAAGCTGGTCATTAGACCGGCTTCTGACAGGCTGCTGTACACATGGCCGAATGTCGACCAGTTTCTGTTTTAACTGGTAAATATTTAGCCCTTGTATAACCAGCTTTTAGTTTTCATGGTATTTCAGAGAATCTTCCAGGACAGTGCCTGTTTCCACCCAGAGGTTCCTATCCTAAGGTGATGGTTGTGCAGTTCCCCCTCGTGCACATTGGTGATGGTTCCTTTCTTTTATAATAATGTAAGGGGTGGATTGGGCTTTTCAATTGCGTTCTGGTTTGTTTCCCACTGATAGTGGAGCTAATCTATGAAGTGGCTGTCCTGAAGATTCTTGGTAATGCTCATACCAGCCATACTAACTTGTAGTAAAATAGTTTGGGGGAAAAACCCCCCACAAAGTTGGAGTTCTTTGATTTGAGCACCAAACATACTACTGTGCAAAGCTTGACAGAGTGCAAACTGCATAACTAGTAAAATGAAATCTATTCTGTAGGACCTCGTATTGCTCTTTTGCACATTCTAAACTAAATTTGTACATTCATAGATGGTTATTTTGCTATTAATTCCTGTGCTTTAAGTCAGCATGTTTTGCTTTTGCTCTGTTTTCTTCTAGATACCCCAATTTGTCTTGTGAGTTATTAACCTCAGATGTATCTCAGATAAACGACAGACTAGGAGAGGATGAATCTTTACTCAAGAGGCTCTATAGCTTCCTTTTGAATGACTCCCCATTGAATCCACTGCTCGCTAGTTTCTTCAGCAAAGTGTTAAGCATTTTAATCAGCAGGAAGCCAGAACAGGTATGTGTGACTTCTCATCCACTTTTCACGATTTTGCATTTTTGGCATTCTTTCCACTTGCCAAGAAAAAATGGTAGTTGTCCATTTAATGGAAAAATAATGGTTTTGGTCAGCTTTGATTTTTTTTTTTTTTTTTTTTTTTAAAACATTCTTTTACAATGTTTTGGTTTCTCTTACATATGATTTCACATCTGAACCTTTTGCCTCCCTTTGCAGATTGTAGCGTTTTTAAAGAAAAAAGATGACTTTGTCGACTTGATAATAAAACATATAGGTACCTCTGCAATTATGGATTTGCTGCTAAGACTTCTCACATGTATTGAGCCACCACAGCTAAGGCAAGATGTCCTGAATGTAAGTTTTGGGTAACTATTCTGTCCTTTAGCTAATGTTAACGCGTATGTGCACAAACGTAAAGGTTCCTTACCTCGAATATACTCAACCTGTTTTCAACTACAAATGTAAAGTTACTGATAAGAATATATTACTTGATTGCAACTTGCATATTTTGTAGTTACATTTAGAGTAGTGTATTTGTAATATCGCATTTCTATACGATTTACAATAATGTATTATGAGTGAATCTCTGCGATTTTACGGTGTGCCCCTAAAATCTTATTGTCCTTGTTTTGTTCTACTCAAGCTCAAAGATGGACAAAGCCATACTTGTGCAAACATATTTTGTCACCTTTTTCGTAATTGCTGAGAGATTCTTGCAGGCCTTAGAATGAAATCTTATTCTCTGACTTATTCACTTGTGGTCTTTAGGTCAGCAAGATCTACATTTTTTTCCATTTGTCTCTCCCTTATAGTGGCTAAATGAAGAGAAGATTATCCAGAGGCTTGTAGAGTTAGTGCACCCATCTCAGGATGAAGATGTAAGTATGGCATTAATCCCACAGTGTGTACTACAAGTACCTATAGATGGCTTTATTTTGCCAGGATCTTGACTGCTAAATTTTTTCTTTGTAAACCAACGTCTTGAAGAAATTGGTATATTTGCATTAAAACCGGTCATGTAATCCCCATGCAGTTTTTACAAAAGCTGCAACCTTTTTCTGTAAAAGGAAATAAAATATATAGGCTGTGCATGACTAACAGGAGCATATGGAAGGATTCTTATGTGGAGCTGACCAAAACTTACCTAGCAAAATGTTTATGCAAGAGGAGCTCCCCATGTGCCTCCCTGTGTGTTTTATGGGGTGATGCAGGTGTCGTCTGGGGGGGGGGGGGTGACGAATCTTGGGGTAAAAAGTGTCAATGAGTTATAAGTAACCAGGGTTGCACTGATACTTTTTTTTTTTTTTTTTTTATATATCTACGAGTACTGTTACTTGTGCTCAAGTACTTGCAGATACCAATTGCCAGTACCTTTTTGTGGTGCGATTTAAGCCCATACAAAATTAATGGCTCAAATCGCACTGCACTCACAGGGAAACTACATAAGATTTGGACAGGAATCGCACTGCATTCCTTTTCAAATCACATGCTTCTTTGCAGTGTGATTTGAGCCCATTCATTTAGTATGGGCTCAATTCGTACCGCAGAGGGATCTGTATCTGTGAGTACTTGGCATACTTTAGCACAAGTATCAGTACATGCCGATAAACGCCCCCGCCCCCCCCCCCCCCCCCCCCCCAGATGAAGGCTCTTACTGTGAAGAAACCTTTCCGTATTTGGAGATTAAATCTATTTTCCTCCAAATGTAAACAGTGCCCCCTGTCCTCTGTGATGACCTTAGGGTAAATAACTCTACACAGAGTTCACTATATGAACTACTGATGTATTTACACATGTTGATCATATCTCCCCCCCTGCCCCCCGACCCCCCCCCACCCCCCCCCCCCCACCCCCCCCCCCCCCCCCCCCCCCCCCCCCAATCTCAAGAGAGAATAAATTTAGTTACTCTAATCTTTCCTCATAGCTGATCTCCTCCATGCCTCTTATCAGTTTGGTTGCCCTTCTCTGTACTTTCTCAGTTCCCTAATAATCTTTTTGTGAATTGGTGCCCAAAACTGAACTGCATATTCCAGATGAGGTCTTACTAATGATTTGTACCGGGGTAATATGATATCTCTCTCTCTGGAGTCTATACCTCTTTCATTACAAGAGAGGATTTTGCTCGCTTTAGAAACCGCAGCTTGGCATTGCATGCCATTTTTAAGATTGACCTACCAGAGCTCCCTGATCCTTCTCCACCATTGATTTCCCCAGTTGTACCCCCCTAGTATGTATGATGCATGCATATTCTTAGCCCCCAAATGCATAACTTTACATTTATCAACATTAACCACTTCAAGTCCAGACACTTTTACCCCCTTCTTGTCCAGGCCAATTTTCAGCTTTCAGCGCTTTGAATGGCAATTGCGCGGTCATGCAATACTGTACCCATAATAATTTTTTGCATTTTTTTTTTTTTTTTTAGACAGATAAAGCTTTATTTTGGTGGTATTTGTTCACCACTGGAATTTTAATTTTTTTTTTTTGTGCTATATAAATGAAAGTCCAAAATTCTTAGTGTTTTTCTTATACAATTTTGCAACTAAATATTTCTTTATAAATCTGGGCCAAAATTTATTCAGTTATCTTTTTAGTAAAAAAAAAATAACCCAAATTAGTTTATAACCAAAAAATTATAATTTTTAATAAAAAAAATTTTTTTTTTTTTTTTTTTTTTTAGTTTGTTTTTTACATACTGGACTTGGATGCCCTGGAACCTTTTCTTGCACCTGCAAATAATACAAACAGGGAATCCAAATTTCTAAATTCCCGGGACCTATTGAGATAAATATAAGACTCTTCTTTATGTCCAGCAAATGTAATCTTTCTTCTACCTTACCATCAGGAGAAGAACAAAAGGTCGGTAGGACTATATCCTGGAACCTATGAAAAGAGGACACCTTAGGGAGAAAACCTGGATCTGTTTTGAGCACGACCATGTCCTCTAAAACAGTCAGGTAGGGTTCCCTAATGGAGAGTGCTTGCAACTCACTTGCCCTACGGGCTGACGTGATTGCCACCAAAAAAAAAACTTTTTTTAAAGTCAAACATTTCATAGAAGATTTTTCCAGAGGTTCAAAGGGTCTGAGGACCAAAGCCTTCAGGACTAGGGATAGATCCCAAACTGGACAAGACCTGACCTAACGGTCTGTACTTTGAAAGAGACCTGAAAAAATCCACTACAAAGGGATCTTGCTGCAGGGGGGGGGGGGGCTGAAGAAAAATACTGAGGGCCGAAGCCTGCACTTTTAAGGTGCTGATCGAGAGTCCCCAATCTGCCCCTTCCTGAAAGAAGTCCAAAACTGCCGGAATATCTGGGGGGCCCCGCTGCTTGCTTAACAACCAAGAATTGAACTTCTTCCAGACCTTCGCATAAATGGCTCTGGTTACCGCCTTGCGGCAGTTTTACCAAAGTTTTTATCACGGTGTCTGAAAACCCTCGAGCTTTCATGAGCTGCTCTTCAGAAACCATGCCGTCAACTTCAAGGTTCTGATCCGAGGATGTAGAACAGGACCTTGAGAAAACCGATCCTCCCTCTCTGGGAGGGGAAATGGGGGAGCCGAGATAAGACTGTTCAGAAGAGAAAACCAGGGTCTTTGGCCAAAAGGGCGCTATCAGAATAAGATCCGTCTTTTTTTTTTTTTTTTTTTTTCCTCATGAACTTCTGCAAGGCCGCTGGGACCAGTCTCACTGGAGGGAATGCGTAAAATAGGTTGAAATCCCACAAACTCATCAGGGCGTCTACCCCGAAGGCCTGCTCTCATGGATTCAGGGTGAAAAACTGAATGACCTTCCTGTTTTCCTGAAAAGCAAAAAGATCGTCCTCCGGTATGCCCCACTTGAGAATTATATCTAGAAACACCTCCTGGTTGAGAGAGCAATCATCGTGACTGATTGGCTGCCGTCTTAAGAAGTCCGCTAGGGAGTTTTGTGACCCTTTTTAAATGAATGACAGAAACCGAAAGCAGAATTCGCTCGGCCCAGGATAGAATGCTGCCTGCAATCCTTTATACAGAGAGGTGCTCCGTGTACCTCCCTGTTTGTTGATCTAAGCCGCTGCAGCTGTATTGTCCGACTGGATCTGTAGGTGACTGCCCAATAGCTTTGTTCCAAAGGCATCCAACGCCCTTTGGACTGCCATCAGTTCCCTCTGATTCGATGATCTCTGAGACTCCTTCCGGGACCACAACCCCTGGGCTGCCATGTCTCCTAGATGGGCTCCCCAACCATAACTGCTGGCATCGGTTGGAACAATGAGCAGAGCCGGCTGGTTCCACTCCAGTCCCCTGGCCAGATTTACTTTGCTCCGCCACCACCAGAGGGATCTTTTTTGGGGGGGAGTAAACATAAAAAACTAAAATAATGTGGTTGTATAAGTGTGCACACCACCCTTTTATAACTGGGGATTTTGCTGTGTTCAGAATTAAGCAATCACATTCAAAATCCTATTAAATAGGAGTCAGTACACACCTGCCATCATTTAAAGTGCCTCTGATTAACCCCAAATAAAGTTCAGCTGTTCTAGTAGGTCTTTCTTGACGTTTTGTTAGTCGCATCCTACAGCAAAAAGGTCTGCAGAGAGCTTTCAAAGCATCAGGGATCTCATTGTTAAAAGGTATCAGTCAGGAGAAGGGTACAAAAGAATTTCCAAAGCATTAGATATACCATGGAACACAGTAAAGACAGTTATCAAGTGGAGAAAATATGGCACAACAGTGACATTACCAAGAACTGGACATCCCTCCAAAATTGAAAAGACTAGCAGAAAACTGGTCTGGGGGGCTGCCAAGAGGCCTACAGCAATATTAAAGGAGATGCAGAAATATCTGGCAAGTACTGGCTGTGTGGTCCATGTGACAACAATCTCCCGCATTCTTCATATGTCTGGGCTATGGGGTAGAGCGGCAAGATGGAAGCCTTTTCTTAGGAAAAAAAAAAACATCCAAGCCCAGCTAAATTTTGCAAAAACACATCTAAAGTCTCCCAAAAGCATGTGGGAAAATGTGTTATGGTCTGATGAAAACAAGGTTGAACTTTTTGGCCATAATTCCAAAAGATATGTTTGGCGCAAAAACAACACTGCACATCGCCAAAAGAACACCATACCCACAGTGAAGCATGGTGGTGGCAGCATCATGCTTTGGGGCTGTTTTTCTTCAGCTGGATCTGCGGCCTTAGTCAAGGTAGAGGAATTATGAACAGGTCCAAATACCAGTCAATATTGGCACAAAACCTTCAGGCTTCTGCTAGTAAGCTGAACATGTAGAGGAACTTCATATTTCAGCAAAACGACCAAAAGCATACATCCAAATCAACAGAGGAATGGCTTCATCAGAAGAAGATTAAAGTTTTGGAATGGCCCAGACCTGAATCCCATGGAAAATCTGTGGGGTGATCTGAAGAGGGCTGTGCACAGGAGATGACCTCGCAATCTGTTAGATTTGGAGTGTTTTTTTGCAAGGAAGAGTTGACAAATATTGTCAGTCAAGATGTGCCATGCTGATTGACTCATACCCAAAAAGACTAAGTGCTGGGATCAAATCAAAGGGGGCTTCAACAAAGGATTAGTTTAAGGGTGTGCACACTTATGCAACTATATTATTTTAGTTTTTTATTTGTACTTCCCTCCAGCAAAAAGATTTGTTTGTTGTTCAACTGAGTTGCACAGTTTATAGGTCACATTAAGGTGGAAAAAGTTCTGAAATTATTTTTGTGTTTTTGTTTTTTGTTTTTTTGTTTTTTTTTTTAAATCACGGAAACTTTACATTTTAATAGGGGTGTGTAGACTTTTTATATCCACTGTGTATGTATGTTGAGAGTGGGGAGGAGTGTTCCAGTCCCTCAGGATCTAGGGAACATGGTCACATGTGGAAGCCAAGCTCCTCCCCTTCAACATTCTGGAGCTCATAGCAGTTCAAATGGCTCTGTAACCTTTGCCTTTCTGTCTACGAAAACGCCCAGTAAGGGTGTGGTCAGACAATGGTGGCTTACATCAACCACGAAGGAAGCAAACCAGATAACATTTGATGGAAACTTCCTGTCCAATGATTTCTTTGGTCCATATCTTGGGAGTGGACAACTGGGCAGGGGACTACCTTGATCACTACCACCTGAATCAAGGGATTTTTGGAATACAAAGACACAGCTGGAGAGATCTCTGCATCAACATCACTTGTGTTGATGCAAGGATTGGACAGGTTTTATTCCACTCACTGGTTGAACAAGAAAAAAAAAGTGTACCCATTTTTAGGATGAGATTGTGCAGCATTCATTGCCTCAGAGAGCACACTTAAGTTGGCGTTAAAAGTATGTTATATTATGCACACATCTTTCTCTCATGTCCACAGATTTTTTTTTTTTTTTTTTATACAGCGGAAATCACTATTGAAAAGGGCATTTTTCAGATTTCAGAATGGCTGTAATTGGAAGCTGGATGCTGTAAAGGCTTTAGTATAGTGTAGGCTGCTGCCTCCTGCCCCATGTCTCTTAATTATGCCCCCATCTATTTCCAGAGCGCTTTTTAAAGACTGTGTTATCTTGTATTTGTTTTGAAGATATAAGAGAATATGTCTAACTGCTCTTTTCTCTATTCACAGAGACATTCTAATGCATCACAGTCCCTTTGTGAAATTATTCGTCTGAGCAGGGATCAGTTGTTACAAGTGCAGAACAGCCCGGAACCAGACCCTCTGCTGGCCACGTTAGAAAAGTATGCCTTTTTAGCTCTGTTTATTGTAATTTATAAAGAACGTTGTGCTTTGTATTTGTTGGAAGCATGTCCAAATGAAGAATGATCAGTGCTGATTGAAGCTATAGCTATTTTTGATGCATAAATGTATGTCTCAAGTTGTCCTGCAGTACAGTTGCAGTTATTCCACTTTAGTGTGACCATAGTTCAAAAAGCCTTTTGGAGGAAGAAACTTCCAATGAGATCCATGCATTTACCTTGCTACCCCCATGTGCCGGGCACCTCTGTTATTACTGCTGACTGAGTTGCATTTCACAAGATTTCAGAGCCTCTACTGCAATTCAATCTCCTGGGCTGCCTCTTGAAATGGGAAGCAGGACGTTATGATTGTGTTGACTGATTTTAAAAAGATTTTTGATTCCTTGCCATAACCTAATTTTGGTTGTGTTCATTTTTAATGCGTGCTGTCTGTTGAGCCTTGTCTTTGCTCTGGTATCTACATTTAATGACTTGTGGGTTTAGGCAAAATCATTGTTTCTGAATTATCTGCTCTCTAATTATGATTGTTTGGGGTTCATCCTCTTTGGTTTGATTTACATGTATTCACTACTTCCCTTCCTATGAGTGTCACTAGAGATACAGAAGTCCAGTTCTGCAATTACATGGTCATATCTGCTGTCCTGTCAACCATTTTAGCATTGTGGGTTGGTATTGATGAAGGTATACATTCCGTCATCTTTGTATTCAGTAGTAAATACTAGCTATGGCACAGATGCGGAATGTTTAAAATTGGTTCTGATTTTGTGCGCATGCGCAGAGCCGACGGGACGGCCATGTCCGTCTGAGGCTCCGGCACATAGTGGGGAATCGAGCCTCCCAGACTTCACTCCCGGCTCAATACGGTCCTGCAACTCGGCTGGTCGCCATGCCAACCCCCCTGGTACCTGTCAGAATGATCCAGGGAGCAGCAAAGCAAACACATCAGCCACCTGTGAAGCCGATCAAAGAGGCCCTGGCTCATGCCTCTTCCAAGATGGCCACCGCCCCTGCATCCCTCACACAGGTACAGCCATATGCAGCACTGCAGGATGCTCATCCCAGATCCCGCTGCATGTCTGATGGTGAGTCTGTCTCTGACCTGGGGACCCCCCAACACACCCCTACCACTGACCTTTCTTCTCCTGACCACCTCAAACAATTTGAGCAGATGCTACACAAAGCCCTGAAACAGAACTTGGACCACATTACTGACAAGCTGTCTAAGGAAATCCGCAAATTGGGGCAGTGCACCTCTGACCTTGAACACCAGGTCGACGACCTTGACACTACACTCCCAAGCCCATTCTGAAGACCTTTGAACTCCTCAGCGATGAAAACATGACTCTGCAGCCCCTTTTGGAGGACTTTGAAAAGAGGGGCCCGCCTCTCGAATTTACGCATCCGCGACCTACCAGAATACATCACGGATGTTCTATCCACAGTAGTGGCCCTTTTTCAAGAATTGGCCTCAGTGATCCCCATAGAACTCCTTGAGATGGATAGAGTTTTTTTCTTATAGAACGCTAGCCCCACGTCGCCCAGATGGCCCGCCACGATATATCGCTAAATTTCACTATTTCCGCACAATGGAACAGCTCCTACAAGCAGCTCGGTCAGCAGGCTCCTTGATGTTTCAGGGTTATCCCTATCCGCTTTTTCAAGATTTGTGCCTGACGCCGATTGCTAAACGCAGAGCCGTGAAGCCTCATCTTCAGGTCCTAAAGCAGCACTGCATTGCCTACCGATGGAGCTTCCCATTCGCGGGGCGCTTCTTCTATTCCCGCGATTATGTCTGCAAGTCTCCGGAAGACCACCTTGATACGCTGGAGAACCTTCAGTTGAAAACCTCATGTGGCCTCACCGGATGGCTCCGGTCATTGGTCAGCATCATGCTCCCCTCAAAGTCGCCCCTCTCCTCCTGCTCCAGCACCACCAGACTCCATGGATTGACTCCTACTGGTATCTTTTGGACCTGACCTGACCTGGTTTTCCTTGATAATTCATTTCAACGGCTTGGTTGCTAATTGTTTGCTTAATATAGTGCTAATGTTATCTTTTTTAGCTTGTTTTCATGTTGCACAGTGTCTATGGCGGCACCGGTTTACATGCACGGGAGCCCTGGATCTGGCTAAACACACGATCCTGCACTATCTTTCCACCTTGATGTCCCTGATGGGTAACATTCTTAAGGTGTGCTGTCTGCTTCCGGGACTTCCCTGACATGCTGGGAGCCTGGGCTCTCACTGTTTCAGCGGGATTCTACAGACTTTTGTTTATTTTTGGGCTGCCTTTCTCCCTATGCTTGTTTCTGCGTATCCACCGCTAACCCATGCAGCACCGTGTTTTTGTACTGCCTGGGCTACTCTTGGCCCTTGGGTTTCTCTGCTGTGCGGGTAACTCAGGGCCCACTGTTTGGGCCATAGCGGCCCCTTTTTGTTTCAATTTGGTTTTACATGCTGTTTCTCGTCTCCCTTTTGCTCTCTCTTGTGACTTCCCTGTTCCTCTATTCCTGCTCTCCCTTTTCTTCCTCTCCTCTTGGAACCACTTCATGTAGGCTCATATGAGGACTTCCCACTCCTTAGCAGACCTAACTTCCCCCCATGGGTTCTCTGAATCTCCTTACCCTAAATGTACAGGGTCTTAATGTCCCACAGAAACATAATAAAGCCTTTCGTTCATTTGCTTCACAAAAGGCACATGTCTGCCTTTAGGAGACACGCTTTTCCACCACTTCCACCTCCAAATTTTTTGGCCCCCACTATCCACAAGTTTTCACTGCTTTCGCTAAATCTAAGTGTAGAGGTGTCTTCATAGCCTTTCATTACACCACCCCTTTTGCACTTCATACTGAGATCAGAGACCCTGAAAGTCGCTATCTCCTCTTGTTGGGTTTGCTCCTCGACTCTGAAGTCACCATCATTACTATGCTCCCAGTCAGGGCCCGCTGCCGTTCCTTTCCCACCTACTGACATTCAGATTGCCATAAACGCGGAACACTGCTTGTTTTACGGCGACTCAAACTGCACCCTATACCCCTTTAGACAAGCGCCACAACTGCTTCTTCGGTTGGCTCCCAAACTCTTCTTTAAACACCTCCTGCACCGTCACTCTCTAGTCGACACGCGGAGAGAGCTTAATCCAGTGAAATATCGATACTTTCTACTTTTATACCCACAAATCGTTTTCGAGCATCGATCACATCTGCACGACTGTCGGCTCCTCTTCCTAGTTCGCCGCCTCTGACATCCTCCTAATACCTTGGTTTGACCATAGTGCAGTCATCACATTGCAGCCCTAGCTCCTTCGGCCACTGATCCCTCCTGGGTCATCAATGACAAACTACTGTCCCATCCATCTCAGTTTGGATATAGAGATTGTTCTTAAAGAATACTTGTCCCTTAACTCCACTCCGGACATTTCTCCTATCCTTCTGTGGGAGGCGCATAAACCCACTCTCCGAGGGTTTTGTATTCGTAAAGCATCTTTTCTAAATAAAAAGAAACGTCCACTACGCTCCTGTCTGGAAATTAAATAAAACCAGTCACACCAGGAATTTCAGAACACCCCGACTTCCAGTACCCGAAAAGCTTTGGAGAAATCTCGTTTGGAATTGGATCACTTTCTCACGGATCAGACAGAAATTTCCCTCCGTGGGTCTCGGCATAAATATTATACCAAAGCGAACAAACCAAACACATTCTTAGCCCTTTCACTTTGTAGACTTGACCGAACTACTAAACCGATCCTATTGTGCGTCTCACCAGGCAATTACACTAGCAACCCAGTGCGCATCTTAGAAATTTTCCATAAGCACTTATCTCAACTGTATTCTCCGACTGATCCCTTTGACCAACCCCGTGCTGAAGCTCTTAGCCCACCTTACTTTACCAAAATTATCCGACCACTAATTGGAAGCTCTCAAGTGCCCAATTACTTCAACTGAAACCTTAAATGCTATCAAGGACCTGAAGCTCTGTAAACGCCCTGGTCCAGATGGTTTCTCTGCCACTTACTACAAGAAGTTTGCTCACCTTCTATCCCCAGTCTTCACTAATGCCTTCAATGCCATCCTGTCCAGTCACTCTTTAAGCCCTGACAGTGTCGGCTAATATTACTATGATACCGAAGCCAAATTCAGATGATTCTGCATGGTCCAATTACAGACCCACTTCCCCCCTCAATATTGATATTAAACTCCTCTTGAAAACCTCTTCACCCGTCTTAACCCGTTTATAGGCTCTCTTGTCCACAATGACCAGGTAGGCTTGATACCCACTCGGCAGGCGGGCGACAATGTTAGAAGAGCGGTTGTACTTTCCTATTTTAGCCCGTTCTCGCAACATCCCCACTTCTTTTCCTTAAATATTCGAAAAAGCTTTCGACGTGGTCTTGTGGCCCTATCTTGACTTTATTCTGTGTCGCTGGGGCTTTGGATCTTTTTTTTTTTTTCTTGCATGGATTTCCTCTTTATATTCACCATCGGCTAGAGTCAGATACCTGAGGCATAAATCGGCATCGGTTTCAATCCAACGTGGAACCCGTCAAGGTTGCCGTTTTCTCCCCTGCTTTTTGCCCTGGCCATAGAGCCTTTAGCCCTCCTGATAATATCCAATCCGGATATACGAGGACTTGAAATAGGAGGATCTCACCACAAGCTGTGCCTCTTTGCAGACAATGTTTTCCTCTTTCTCACCTCTCCATTGACCAACTCTCCAACTCTTCTTCGGCTCCTCCAACATTTTGGCAATATCTCTGGCCTTCATGTTAACCCCAGAAGTCAACTGCGCTCAATATCTCTCTACCTCCCACGGACTTGGCGCACCTGCAACAGGTTTTACCTTTTTTCATGGTCCCAATACTCCATTCCATTTTTTAGGCATTAAACTAACCCCTAGCCCATAGCACCTTTTTATACAGCCAACTATTTACCAATGTTGGCCCACCTTACTGGTCTCTTGACCAAATGGTCCTCTTTCCATTGGCCTGGACGGGCAGGAACTCTGTTGTGAAAACGTAATTTCTTCCCAAAATATTGTATTTGTTTAGAGTGCTACCTATTCCCGTACCTGCACATTTTCTCCGTATCCTACAATGACGAGTTTACAGGTATAAATGGGGCTACACCCGTCCTCATGTACCTCGTGCTACCATACACCAATCTAAGGATTACCAAGCGGTGTATGTAGCATAATTGCCCAAATATCATGCAACTCCTGAAATCCCCCAATGGGTCTTCCTCTAATCGACTGATTGCGACCCCCTCTCAGTTGCCAATCTTGTATGGTTTCACCCATCGAATTGCCATCTGCTCTGTAATCCAATAACATCCCATTATATCTCACTTTGGGACAGACTAAAATCCCGTTATTCCCTTCAGTCGCTGCATAACCCCTTACTCTCATATCTCCGAAACCCGCCCCCCTGGTTTGTTCTTCACCACAATCCTTCACACACTGGTCCTCGGCGAATCTGCTTCGTACTCACCATGTCATAACCAGTAGAGGCTTTAAAACCTTCCCTTCTCTCCGTGAGTCGCACTCTATACCGGCGGTGTAAATGTTTAGGTACCTTCAGTTGCAGCATTTCTTTGCACCGCTGTCTGTTCATTCCCGCTCAACTCGTTCAATGTCTTTTTTTTTTTTTTTTTGAACGGTCCTGTGATAGAGACCCACATAGACGGGGTCTTATTTCTGATATCTATAATCTTCTCTCCACTTCTGAGACCTCGTCCAACCCTACTTAAGTTGTTAGGTGGGAGAAAGACCTGGGACTCCAGCTGAGCCCTACAGACTACCAAATCCTCCTCGCAGAACGTGGTGGCTTCAGAGACTACAAGGTTTCGATTAGATGGTATCTGGTGAGGATTGCTAAATATACCCCTAATTACTCTACTGAATGTTTGTTTTTTTTCTGGGTTGTACGATGGTAGGGACTTCTATGTTTACTGGTCCTGCCCGGTTTCCCAAACCTTTTGGGCTGAAGTTTTCCATATGTTATCCCAGCTCTTTGTAAAATCAATACCGCCAGACCCAACTATTGTACTCTTAAACTTGCGCCCCACCTCCATCTCCAAATCCCAATTTTTAAACTGCTCTTGCAAATCACTACTGCAGCTAAACAGATTTTGGCCAAATCGTGGAAGTCAGTCTGCGCATTAGCAGTTTGAAACAAGGTTACACAAGCGATGATTCACGCCAAAGTTGAGGCCACTGTTTTAGATTCTGTCCCTAAGTTTCTATTGATCTGGACCCCTTGGGTGGAATGTTTTCCTTCCACAAAACTGAGTCGTTGCTCCTTCCCGAACGTCCTCTTACCCTGCATCGTTATAGTCCTAAGAGCTGCGTTTTGCGTTGTCCTGGTTCTGAGATTCTCTATTCTCTCCTGTAAGTCATCTGTCTGTCTCTTCTAATTCCCCCCCCCCCCCCCCCCTTTTGTCTTTTCCTTTTCTTTCTCTTTCCTTTTTATTATTTCAGTCTTCCTTTGCCCCACCTCCTCTTTCATACAGAACCTCCAAATGGTCATTGGGACACAGTGCTCCATCTCTGTTGTACATTTAGATTCTATCTTCTCATGTACCACAGTGTCCCTTCATGGTTTTTATATGCTTCCTCGTAACACGATTTTCATGCAATAATCCTTCTTCCTGTAGGGCAACATGTTTTTTCTGTATTCATTGAAGCCTGCATATGTTCATGTTCATCCTACTTCTGTTTCTTTTTATGTTTTTGAAAACCATAAAAAAATTTGAACAAGAAAATTTGGTTCTGATTTTTATCTCCTGTTTAATCCTTTATTTTTAGGCAAGAAATTTTAGAGCAACTACTATCAAATATATTTTTGAAAGAGAAGAATGAATCTGCCATTGTCAGTGCTATCCAAATATTGCTTACTCTACTAGAAACCAGACGGCCAGCGTAAGTGAAAATCTTAACTTCTTGTTTACCTGATCTTGCGGTACTGATTTTCACAAAGGAGATTGAATTTGTATAAACTGTCTTCAAGTATAACAAAAACCTGAGCTGGTAATAAAAGTGAGCTGCAGCTAATCTGGTTGTCAAGTTGATATGGTTATACAGGAGAGTACCTTTTTAGTGTGACACATGTGAAGTCTGTGCTGCCATTTGCAGACTCCTGGACTATATATGTAATTCTGTAAATATATATAGGTATGTATACTTGTGCATGCTGATATTGATGCATTGTTTTTTATTTTTACAGTTTTGAGGGTCATATTGACCTGTGTCCACCTGGTCTCAATCACTCTGCATTTTCAGTTAACAAAACTGTCTTGACTGCTATTCAGGAAAAACTTCCGTCCTTTCACCAGCTACTCCTGGATCCTCCAAAAGTAATTGAACTTACTTACTATGATCTAGCTATGAAACTGCAATCACCCTTGATCTCAAATTGCTGGGAGGCAGCCATTCCGATCATGTACTGTAACTGCTGTGTTTGGCATGTACATGGTAGGAAAGCTCCTGGTTGCAAGTATACATCAGGAGCTTTATCTGCTTGTTACTGTGCTGGGAGTGCGCTCTTAGAAAGTAATGTGTTTACACGGGGATGCATATATGCAGCTAAAGCCTACCTGCCGAGAGGCCGCATATGTGTGTACCTCCGGTGGGAATTGGTTATGGAGTTGTGTTTATTGACCTTGTTAATCGGTAGGTTTGGGGGCCTTTTTATCATCGAAAGCTCACAGTAAAGTATGCAGTGGTAGTTCACAAACCAGGAAATATTCTTAAGGCTGACATTTGATCAAGAAAAATTGCAACTCCAGCCTGTTAACAAAACATCTAGGGCTGATTGAAACTCACAGCTACCGATACTTCCTGGTGTTTGCTTCTACGTTGTGGCTATACTTTTATTTCTTTAGTGCCCACAAGTGCTTTAAAGTACAGTGACCTTTTTTTTGGCACATACATTACATTTTTTGGCCAGTTTTTTGCATTGAAATAGTTGTAAGCTCCCTATTTTTGTCAAGTCAAATTTACACATCTTCATTACATTCACTCTCTTGATCATCCCCAGTGTACTTCCCGTGAACTTAGTGTTTTGTACAGAGCAGAGTTACAGAATTTTGTGTGCAAGTGAATTTAAATATGCTTTTTTCTTTTTCTTTTTTTTTTTTAAGACTGATGTCATGAAGACAACGTGGGGAGTCCTAGATCCTCCTGTAGGAAATACTCGGTTACACGTTATCAGATTGATAGCAAGTTTACTGCAGACAAATACGCACAGCATTAATATAGAATTAATTGAGCTAAACACTATAGGAGTTATTCTGGTAAGTGCCCATTATTTTTGTGTTTAATGAAAATATTCAGATTTATAGAGCTGAATAAAATGCTTAAAAGTTCTGATATGCTGCCTGTGGAAGGGACACAGCTTTAAATTTAACTGTCAGTTGCGTAGGTATCACTGTCTTAGTCATTTTTGTCCTTTTTCTGTCTACATGTGTCTCCTTGTTATACTATGTACTTTTTTTTCAAAGGCATGCAGTAAAATCAACTTGAACTGCAACTTCTTTGCTAAAAAGACTTTTCTGAGAGAACATACTGGAAATGGCGTGCTTCTGGGTCTCAGTGACCCTAAATGATATCCTTTATTCTAAAAAGAAATTTTATACGTTCCCACTAAATGGCCCTGTAATCTGTTTTTCATTACATCGCTTCTTACTGTGTTTTTCTGCCTCCTTTTATTATCCACTGTAATCTTCCGAACTCTCCTCCACCAACACCACCCCCCCATCACTGCCGCAAAAAAGGATGAATTTGGAGGAGGCCTAGAGCAATAGAAGATCTTTTTGAGTTAGGAATACACATACACAGGGAGTTCGTGCATACTTCTGGAATCTTTTGCATTTGGAAGTCCACAAGATGAAATAAAAAAATTCCTTTAGTGTACCTACATGTAGTGTTGCACAAGAAGAGACTCAGCAGTTCAAAGTATTTAGATGTTCTGTAGTGGTCAAAGATTGCAAAAATAACATTTTTGACAGCCACGTCCCCTGTTCATTACTATGCAGCTTCTAGTACATAAAGTTATTTAGGTGGTTGTAAAACCTTACATATACCCAGTGAAGGTACTGGCCTCATGTGATGGAGATTAAACCAATCCTCCTACAGAAGTTGATTTTATCTGCAGTCTTCTGTTCTCTATAACTGTTCAAAGTCCAAAATTTATACAGCTTGTCTTAGCATTCAGAAAGCAGGGGGTAAGAAGCTGAAGTTGCACTGTGCAAAGATCAGTGAGGAGAGCTGATTGCAAGGAAGGGACACACTCTTCCCCTTTACATAGGAACACAGCTGAGGCTGTCAATCACAGGTTGTGTGCTGGTGCTCCCTCCCCTATCTTTTTACTTTTTAGTGTCAGAAAAACTTGTCAGACATGGCTCAGACAGATAACAGAGGAATAGGGCAGCAGACAGAAATGACAGTGATTTGGATTTAGGCAAGTACATACTATAAAGGGATATGCTTTGTTCATATTTCATGTCAGATTTACAGCCACTTTAACATGCTTGCTTGCCTTCCAAAAGCTGGAATCCTGCAAAAGACTGCATGGCATTGTCTATCTGGCAGTGGCTCTGGTTTCCAAATTAAACCACTTCTATGCTGTTCCTTTCTAGGGAATAGGAAATTAAATGTGCGCTGAAACTCTGTGGAATTGGTGCTGTGTACATAAAATGGTATTTAAAGAGGAACTCCATTTGGCAGCTAACCTACGAGCGGCACCTACTATTCGAAGCATTCAGGGGGGTCCGTTGATGAACAAGGTGGCTTCGTTTGTGCACTACACCCTTCTATTTTAAAATGGACTCATTCTCTTCTCTGCAGGCCGCACTCCAGCTGGTGAATGAATGACTGACTTTGGAGCCTTCTCTGGGATAGGGATCAATTGGGTTAAGTCCATTCTTTTACCTCTTAGCTGCTGGCCTTCACCACTTACCACCAATACTCCCTTGATTTGGGCCATGGAGTTTAAATATCTTGGGATCTGTATCAGTAGTACTACTCTGACTACATGGATCTTAATTTGTTACCCTTATTACGTTCCCTCTCCCAGAGATGCACCACGTGGTGTATGCTCCCTCTGTTCCCGGTGGCCAGAATTAACCTGTTGAACATGTATCTGCCCAAACGCTTGTGCTTTTTTCATAATACACCTGTTTTTGTATACCCAAATTTTTTCAACAAGTTGGATGGTATCGTTGGCTCACTTGTCTGTGCAGGGAAGACCCCTCGATTAGCTAAATCTACATTTAAAACTTTCCCTTTCCCCAAGGGGGTCTTTCCCTTTCCCCAAGGGGGTCTTTCCCTTTCCCCCTTCCCCAGACATTCACTTATATTATTGGGCGTTATCTGTTACTGTACGGTGGTGGTTTTCGTAGCCGAGAGATAACCCTGCGATTTACGTTGGAAGCGGCTGTTGTGGGTTCTTATGCAACTCTTGTAAAGCTTTACGCAAACCTTTGGCGCGATATAAATCTTGTATATTAATAATAAACTCTTAGCAACTTAATTTTTCAGGGCCTTCGTACACTCATTTGTGTGATAAAAACCACAAACGTGGTTTGGCAGCAAGCAAGGACGCAGTGCTGAAAACCTTGCATGTTTTTTCCTTGCATACATCTTTGGGTTAGCCCAACTTTACCCCATCTGAATGTTACCTGTTCCCCACCCGTGGGCTTCTCAAGGGATAGTGGGCCTCAAACGTATTAAGTCCTATGGCAGATTGCAGCGTTTCTCAGAACTTGAAGCCGAATTTCACTCAATCAACATAGGATATTTTTAATCCTTATGCTGATGCTGCTATCCTTAGTAAATTGGAAAGTATATTATATTTGTGTTGTACATTTCTTCACTTACTTCCTGGTTTCCAAGCCTAGGCAAGTGTCATACATCCCAGAAGTCTTCAGGAGGGGAGGGACGGTTCTCAGTTCAGCCATTGCCTAAACTCAGGGCAGATGGATTCAAGGAATCATTTTGCACTTACTCAAGATGGCCACTGCCCAAAATACCAGGGGCTGCTTTTCAAAATGAAATCTTAGCAAAATAAAGCATGGATACATAGATGGATAAGTGAGTTTGCTTTGAACATTAACAACGAATTAAATGGCATTTGTGGTGCTCAGATGCAGTACAATTCTACTTCGACAGAAATCAATTTGCCCAATCAGATGTTTGGATATCTGCAGCTTAGGCATGCGACACTCAGTTTCCCACTATGGTTATCCTAGAATCTGACCCCCCTGGACTGTCTCCCGACATCTGGGGGATGGGGAAACTCCTGTCTTCAATCTGCCTTCACTCTCCTTTGCTCACTCAAATTGTCAAATTGAGTAAACTATTCTCTAAACTGCAGGCTGACCTGCCATACCTCTCCAAAGAAGACTAGGATGAATGTACAAACCACTAGGTTACTGCTATCGTTTTGGCCAAAGATAGGTTTATCCAAGTAAAATTCCTACACAGCGCATACTATACTCCTGTTTGTTTGTTTGGCTGGCATATATTCTGCAGTTGGCTCCCTATGTACAAGATGTCAGCTATCTGAGGGTACCTACCATCATATGGTCTGAACTTTCCCTAAGATTCACATTTTTTGGGCATCTGTCCTGGATATTAACATGTATACCCTAGCACACAGTTAAAAAGTCAGGTTTCTGTGATGCAAGAAAATGAGACAAAGATAAATCATTTCAGAACGTTTTACACCTTTAATGTAAACTGTACAACTCAGTTGAACAAACAAATCTTTTAGCAGGGTAGTAACCCTTAAAAAAAAAAAAAAAAAAAAAAAAACCTAAAATGTGGTTGCATGTGTGCACACAGTCTTATAACTGGGGATGTAGCTGTGTTCAGAATTAAGCAATCATGTTAAATAAGAGTCGGTACACATCTGCCTTAATTTAAAGTGCCACTCTGTGTGCTAGTGCTACTGTTAGATCACTGTCTCGTGGAGCCAGACAGTGTATGCAACGTTTCCAGTGAGCAGGCAATCCCCCATCCCGACTTCAGGCGCTCTGTGTTCCTCTGTCATTTCCACATGTGTCAAACACAAGACCTGCAGGCCGAATGCGTCCCTCCAGGCCATTTCATGTGGCCCTCGCACCTCTTCTGGAGCTGCAGCACCCCCCTGCCTTGTCTCAGCAGTCGGCACCAATGAGGACAGAACTCGTTTGCCAGATCCTGCGCTTCTCTGTGCAGCCACAGAAAGGAGACACTCTTCCTCAGCATCTCCTCAGTCGGCATCAGAGGACGTCAGAACTCCTACAGTTCCTGCGCCTAGCTGCAGTATGCCCTTGTGTCCACCTCCCCTAGTCTCAGTATTCAGCTGACTCCAACTCTCCTACGGTCCTCCTCCAGCCCCTACACGTTCTGCTTTCCAGCTTTGCCCTAGCAGCTACCTAGCAGCAGTAGCACAAAGTATGGGTGTACTGTGATGTAAGGGTGGGGGAATCTAGTCTTGGATACAGCTAGTCCATTGAGGGCAACCATAATGCTAGTGCAGCACACAGTGAAATGGAGTTTGACACCCTGGTCCTGTGCGGTTTGTCTACTGTGGCCTCACCTTGTTCATTGGATTGGCAGCTTCTCTTGTCTTGCAGCTGGTCAGATTCAGGTGTTGGTTCCTCAGTTTGTCCCCAGTTGCAATAGGTACCCTTCTGAGGGCCTGGTAGTAGTTGTTGCCCACCTGACTGCTTTTGAACGTCCTTTGTTCTGTGCCCCCTCATTGATTCAAAAAATATTTTGTGGTCTCTGCCTTGGTACTTTTTTTTCCCCCAAACTGATGCATAAAGAGTAGAGGAAAGGCATATGGAGACTGACTTTTGTGTTTGTTTTTTTTTGCCAATGTCCAGATCATCTGATGGCTGCAGTATAGCCTGACTTGAATCTAGAAAGCTACTTTAAGGTTCAACAGCAGGTGGCACTGTGGTTTTTTGTTTTTTTGGGGTTTTTTTCAACAATAATTGCAGTCTTTTCATGGAACAGCATGTTTCAGTGACATATTTGTGTTTAGCCTTATAAACCACTGAAGTTATTTGTCTCTGCAGGATATGTTTTTCAAATACACCTGGAATAACTTCCTTCACACACAAGTTGAAATCTGCATTGCCTTGATTCTTGCTAGTCCTGGAGACAGTACAGACAGCTTGATCAGCGAACAGAACTCTGCAGGAGAGCATATCTTATTAAGACATGTACGTTCTATTCCGTTTTTTTTTTTTTTTTTTTTTCTCCTTCTTCTTTCTTGTGATTAAATGGGACAAACCGGTCATTGCACTATTTTTTTTGTTTTTTGTAGCTTTTTTTGAAATGCCACTTAATAGACAGAATACTTGAAGCATGGGCCTTGAATGAAAAAAGACAGTAAGTTATGTGTGTTTGTCTTTTTGCGCAACCCCCCCCCCCCCCCCCCCCCCCCTCCCCATCCCCTCCCCATCTCTTCTAAAAAGTTTCTTTGATTGCACCTAAACTGAGTTGAGTGCTTTATTCCGAGACCTACGAAGGTACTAAATTTTAGAAAGTTTCACAGGTCTAATAGTTTATGCTGCTATCAAGCATGGAGTATAATATTGATGTTTTAATGTGCTGTAGGTCTGAAGGAGGAGGGGAGAAGATGTGGATACATGGGACACTTAACAAGAATAGCAAACTGCATAGTTCACAGCATTGAGAAGGGGCCAAACAGTACACTAGCACATCAGCTTATTAAAGGTATGTGGATATTATGCTTATGTTTAACTCTTCATTCGGTTTGCCACCTTTTGAGATGGAAAAAAAAAAAAAAAAAAAGTGCGAGAAATTAAAAAAAAACAAACAAACATACTCTGTGTAGCTGCAGCATTGGTACGATGCTGCAGCTGTCCCTGCCAGCTCAAAGATCAAGAACAGAGTGATCCTATGACCGCTGATCACGCTGTTCCTGGTCTTCACTTTGTAGAGTGTGGTGACTGTCAATCATCGGCTCTCTATTCTGCCATTCCAGAGCTTACTGGAGTGCCTGGCTGTGAAAGGGACAGGAGCGGCTGGCTTAGGCTCTCGGCAGAATGCTTAGAGGCTGAGCCAGCAGCCACCAGAGTGTCTGGGTGGCCATATGACTTTGGCCATACTCCTTTAACTTTTTAAAGGGACTGTCACACTAAAAAAGGGGAAAAAAAAAACTCTTCCTGCTTTGCTCTCAGAGAAATTCTGTCAAACTACAGCATCCTACACTTCAGGGATTGTTGGATATCTGGTCCCCCTCTCTGCTATAAGTACACTCCTGTGACCCAGAAGTATGGGGGAGGGGGGAAGCTTTGGCTATTCTTTTTTCAATGTCTTGGGCTAGGTTTGATTTTTGCATTTTGCAAGCATTTTACACCTAAAACTTAACTATACTTAATATCTGAAAGGGTTCAGAAGCTTCCTTGGCAGGCGTTATGCATGACTGGTGAGATGATATTTACAACATTTATGCATACCTAAAAATGATAAACTAGTAGACTGCCTACCAGTTTTTGTTCTTGAATTTTTTGTGTTTTTTTTTTTTTTTTTTTTTTTTTTTTTTTTTGAAAGACCGGAGTACTCAGGCTTGTAAGCATGTTGAATGATGCCTGTCTGCTGACCATCTTTTAGCAATTTCCAGGATTCTCTGTGCTTTGCTTCTCTGCACAGTAATTTTTGTTTACTTTCAATTTCTAAGGACTACATATCCAATGGTACATTGCTGCCTGCAAGCAGATATGGTGTGGTGTTTCCTGTACTCAATGTGTCTCCTGAAGCCCTGTGTTTCAGCACCTCTGTAGTTTAGACAGCAGGTTCTGTGAAATATGTGACACAAGCAGTTGCCTATTCATAGGGTGTGGTGAATGTTAAAGTAAATGTGTGGGATTCTTCAAAATGTGTTTTCAAACTTCAAAATTGTTCACATTCATTGTAGTAGGCTAAACATAACTGAAATTCAATGTGGAAATGAATATGATCTTAAACTTTGACCATAGAAATACTTTAATATGTATGTTTCTAAATTGCAGAATTGCCATCTGAAGCTCAGGAAAAATGGGAGACTTTCTGCACAAGTTCCTTAGGTGAAACAAACAAGAGGAACACTGTAGATCTAGTAGGTTTCTGCTCTTCGTATCTGCTTTTTCATCGTGCTTATGCCTCCGAACGCAAGTCATATACTGCCTGAAAGGTGGAGCTCTGCAATAGTTTGTTCAGCTGATCTGTGTCATGAGTCAGCATGTTATGCCTAGGGATGTTTACTTATGACTAACAGTCCAGTTTTTTTTTTTGTTTTGTTTATTTCCCCCAATTTGAATCAATCTAGAATTTAAAATAATTCCTGGTCCATGCATTAATATAATACAATGATACTGTTTTAACCGTTGTAGAATTATAGTTTTAAAACATTTCAAACTGTAGGAAGAGGATGAATGTAAGTTTTGTAGAAACGCCCTTTTTCTGATTTTCTCTTTCTGAAGTCCACTGCATTGCTGATCACGTACAGGAATTTCAATCCGCTTTTGAATGTAAACCAGTTAAACTGATCAAGGTGACCTGCCACCAGATAATTTTACAATATTTAAGCCCTTGTTAAGTTCATAAAATTTTTGGTAATTTTTATAGTTGACTGTAGTATGAGATTGTTACTATTGCCATGTTTGGTCCCCGGATTACTGATCTACTGCCAAATAAAAAGGACAAAAAAAATAAATGTGTGTAACAGTAGAAACCCTGATCCATGATTTCTAATACATTTTGAAGAATAAAGGTTGTGTTTTTTTTTTTTTTTTTTTTAAGACGTCTAGCAGAATAACAAATATAAAAATGTATTACAAAAATAGTGAAAATGCGGTCAAGAACAGAAGTCGATGTCCGTAAAAAGTTGTAAGCAATTCTCGTTCACAACCTCAACATTCCCCCAGCAGTAGGAAGGTAAATTGTGGGGGGAATGTGAATATCAATAAAAATCCAGGTGAGCAATCCTATGTGCCACATTTTCCACAACAAAGGTAAAGGGGGGGGGGGGGGGGGGGGGGGGAAATAAGTGAAAAGAACAAGAATGAGAAGGAGGTAATGAAAAAAAAAAATAAAGGGGGGGCGAGGTTGTCCAGCAGAAGGGGCTACACAGCATGCATCCTGGTACAAGGTTTGCACGCCCAACAACTCAATGGGCTGAAGCTCGAGAGCCTGAGATTTCAAGCTATGGACACAAGTCCCAAAACATAAGCGTAATTTTCATGAGCCATGGCAGTGAGCTCCTCCATGCCTTATTAATGTAATTTAGTTAAGTGACCTATTCACAGATAGTAGTTGGAGATTTCCAATGCCTAGGAATTAAGGCCTTACCTGCCATGAGACCCTTTTTTTGGTGCGTTTTTTTTATTGAGGCCAGAATTATGGAGAGCAGAGCTACTTCTGGTGTCTCCGACCATGCCCCCCTATCTGTAATACGGCTCAAATTAAATTTGTCCGCCCAGTATGGTCTGATTTTTGGGCAGGATCACCATGTGTGGAGTTGTGTACCACCTGGCACTCCACATCTCCAACAGATACTTGTACAGAACTTATCACGGCCGGACATTGGTACCATCTGGTCCAGATTTTGTAGTTCCGTTCCTGCGCTTGGGAGGCCAGTGTAAGTTTTAAAGGTAAGAAGGAAGGAAGGAAGGAAGGCTTTAACCCATTCTTCCGGGGATGGGCTGTGTCCCAGCTCCCACTCCCAGTATGACATAGATGGTGCAATTGGGGTAAGCCTGTAATAGGTGAATGCCATGGAGTTAGGCAATTTCTAATAAATTCATCCTTTTAGAAAACTTTTTTTTTTTGTTTTTTTTTTTTTTTTTTTTTTTTTTTTTTTTTTTTTTTTTGTTTTTTTTTGTTGTTTTTTTTTTTTTTACAGCTAGATACCTCAAGGCCAAGTACTTAGCATATCTAACACACTAATTAATATACAGTTCAGTTACAGAGGGCACCTTTACTGATTCTTGAAGTTTATTTACAATTCTGCAACCATTATAATTAACATCCAGGAATAACTTAAGCATTAAAAGAGAACTACTTTTGCACTATTACTCTTTAAATGACTTTCGCCCTATAATGTCTTGTACTCACCTCTCCATAATCCTGGCAGATTTACACTTTGGCTATTGGAAATCAGAAAGCTACCTATGAAAACATTCTGGCGGCTTTTTAAAGTCTTCTGCACATGTATTGACAAAATCCAATTTGTTCCTTTTGGGAATCTATATACCTGTAACCTATTCCATCTCCCGGGGAATAAATGGGGTATGTCTAAGCACACAAAGGCTGACTAGTCGAGCGTGTTATCCAAATGAACTGTGTAGTTCTGCCTGACCCCTGCTGCCTGGAGCATTGATTGGCATGTACAAGACCTTAAACAAGAATCATAAAAAAAAATAATGTTTTTTTTAATTTTTTTAGTACTGAAGGCAGCAAACTTAAACTGGCCTAGTATAACGTACCAACAAATAACTTGGTAGTAGTAATAACTTGTAAGTAATTGCACCTTAGCTGGGCAAAAAAATGTCCCACCTTAGTTTCTTTTGACTATTTTTAAACCAGGGATCCCTGGCAGTAGGGCCAACATTTTTTAATCAAAAAGGAGATATTCCACTCTAACATCCACTGCAGCACTGAACTTTACTTTGTGCATCCATTCATCATAGATGAAGAAATCTGTCAAACGCAAAGGCCTGTAAAATAGAATTTAATAAGTGTCCTAATTGTCACACATGTCAAGAAGTCTTCGTGTAATTCTTCTATACACATAAGTAGAGCTCAAATATTACACATATCATAGAAAAATAGTTCTCCAGGAATTAAGTTGCTTGGAATATTTGTTCATGAATGGGAACAGTACTGTTTTCCTGTAGTAGAGATCAATATTGAGTTCCTTTAAGTTCTACAAGTATCTGGAATCCTATATATGGAAAATTGAATTTGTAGTTTCCCTTGGCTGTAAAAGCCCAGTAAGCGAGTTTTAACAGTTACTGGTCAGTCATATGATTTTGTTTCTGAATGGTTCTTAAGAGATGTTGTGAATGACATGAAGCCACAACTATAGTAAACCACTTAAAGCTGAGCTAAACCCCCTCATTTTAACGGTTTCAAAAAACACTTGCATTCTTAGAATGCTGTCACATTTGCTTCTGCTTTCAACCAAACTGTCAATGCATCAAATTGCTAGTGTCATAACCGATCACGTTTGCAGACAGCATCATGGCAATTACAGATCAAACCAGAGGCAAGGTGGGAGCTTTCTTGGCTGAAAAGGATAGAAGGGTTAGTTCCGCTTTGTGGGTGTCTGACAGGCTCTTCTGAGGGGGCTTATCTTGACTATCACCAGTTTGCATGGAATCGATATTCCCTTTTAATTACACATGTGGGTTCAATAAAACAAACTGAAAATGAGAGTTTGAGTGAATTTTGTTTGAGGAGGGGAGAACTCAAGTAGGAAAGGAGGGAGGAGAAGGAGCCAGGGGTGAAGTGACCACTGTGAATGCAGGCTTAATTGAGAAGCTGAAATTAGTAGTAGATTATTAAAGTTATTTGGATAAGAATAAGTTATTCATGTGTCCAATTTTTTCTTTTTTTTTTTAACTGTATAATTGAAGAAAAGCTGCCATTTTCCGTTTGTAAATATTTAATATTTGTTACAATTTCATATGCAGCCACTCTGCCATGGAAACCCATTCCATGAAGCTCTCTACACACTGTTGTGCTAATCTGAAGCCCATATGAAGTTTAGAGGTCTTTATCTATTGACTCTGCAGACAGTTGGCGACTTCTACGCACTGTGCGGTTCAGCATGAGCTGACCCCACTCTGTCATTTTACGTGACCTACCACTTCATGGCTTTGTTATAATACCACGAACAGTTGATTGTGGAATATTTAGTAGCAAGGAAATTTCACTGGTGGACTTATTGCACAGGTGGCAACCTATCACGGTACCAGGCTTGACTTCACTGAGCTCCTGAGAGCAACCCATTCTTTAACAAATGTCTGTAGAAGCAGTCTGCATGCCCAGGTGCTTTTATATTTCTATGTATGTATGTGTTATGTGATAGATATAGATAGATAGATATATATAGAGAGAGATCTCACAGAAATGAGTACACCCCTCACATTTTTGTGAATATTTTATTCTATCTTTTCACGTGACAACACTGAAGAAATGACACTTTGCTACAATGTAAAGTAGTGAGCATACAGCTTGTATTACAGTGTAAATTTGCTGTCCCCTCAAAATAACTCTTCACATAGCCATTTAATGTCTAAACCGCTGGCAACAAAAGTGAGTACACTCCTTAGCGAAAATGTCCAAATTGGGTTCAAAGTGTCAATATTTTGTGTGGCCACCATTATTTTCCAGCACTGCCTTAACCCTCTTGGGCATGGAGTTCACCAGAGCTTCACAGATTGCCACTGGACTCCTCTTCCACTCCTCCATGATGACATCTTGGAGCTGATGGATGTTGGAGACCTTGCGCTCCTCATCTTCCGTTTGAGGATGCTCAGTAGAGTTTAGGTCTGGAGACATGCTTGGCCAGTCCATCACCTTTTACAAGGCAGTTGTTGTCTTGGAGGTGTGTTTGGGGTCGTTACCATGTTGAATACTGCCCTGTGGCCCAGTCTCCGAAGGGAGGGGATCATGCTCTGCTTCAGTATGTCACAGTACATGTTGGCATTCATTCCCTCAATGATCTGTAGCTCCCCAGTGCCGGCAGCACTCATGCAGCCCCAGACCATGACATTCCCACCACTATGCTTGACTGTAGGCAAGACACATTCGTCTTTGTACTCCTCACCTGGTTGCCACCACACACGCTTGTCACCATCTGAACCAAATAAGTTTATCTTGGTCTCATCAGACTATAGGACATGGTTCCAGTAATCCATGTCCTTAGTCTGCTTGTCTTCAGAAAACTGTTTGCAGGCTTTCTTGTGCATCATCTTTAGAAGAGGCTTCCTTCTAGGACGACAGCCATGCAGACCAATTTGATGCAGTGTGCGATGTATGGTCTGAGCACTGATAGACTGACCCCCCCACCCCTTCAACCTCTGCAGCAATGCTGGCAGCACTCATACATCT